TTTTAGGACATGGAAAAAAATCTTCTCTATCATATGAACCTATATATCTCCCCTATAATAAGGATTAGAGATCTGAAAATTTAGGGTAATATTCGTCTAGTTACAAGGGATAAGATATCCAATTTTGAGAGTTTTTGGATTTGTAATAAGGGAGAACGAACAATTTTTCTAAGAACGACCAAGACTTTTGGCCCACCCTTTACCAGAGCCCGGAGAACGAGGTAATCTGAGTGGCATTCAGTTGTGGCAAAGCGGTGGGGTTTCGGCCATGAACAATGCATTACATCGTGCTGAACAGCATCAGGATAGTTATGGATCAATATGCAACATCTATGTTACGAATCTCGATGATGACGATATCTGGTCTACAGAACATCTCAATGAATTGCTATCCATCTTCAAACGTTTTCCATCGGTTGTTTTTGCATGGACTAAAGGATACTTTTGTCATAGTGGCGGTAATCCATATCCACCTTTGATAGTTTCACAAGACAGAGTTAATAATTGGCCTGGAACTTTTGGCGGTAATATACTGCACTCTTCTTGGTCATGGAAGATGGAAATTTTCCGAGGTTTCCGATATCGTGGGCAGTGGGATTTTCCGCCAAATTTCAAAGGACCGAAAACAGCAGACTATGCTTTGTTTGAAGTAGTGCGTGCATATATTACCGCAAAAAAGTTAGATTATTATCACAGCAACCGAGCTACAATTGAGCATCTCATCGAAATGGGACAATCGTGCACTAAAAATGGATCACTATGGTATCCTGATTAACTTAAATGAATCTTTTGACGTTCAGTATAAAGCCTTGTGCAAAATTTTGCGACGGTTGAATTGCACTTAACAAAAAAGGCGGTTATAGCTATGGATGCTTAACTACCTCTTTTTCTTATTCATCACTGTCAGCTAGAGCTCTTCCTCCAGTCTAGAGTGGGTGGGTGTGGACTGTGGGTGTGGGGTGTGGAGTGTGGGGTGTGGGTGGAGTGTGCGGGTGGATTGTGTGGATGGGTGTGGGCGTGATGGGTTGGTGAGGGTGTGGTGGGTGGGTGTGGGTGTGGTGGATGGGTTCTGAAAAGAATCACAACAACAGCAACACTCATCCCCTATATCAAAAGACAAAAATCACAGGTCTCTATATTGCTTCTCTCAAAAGTTATTCGTAGTCAATGACTGCTCAATGACTATGGATTCACTCTGTATGTATAAGTCATTTTTCCAACAGATCACATATCTTTTTTATATTTCGATACTACTTCAATTTCACAAGACATTGAAACTAATGTCAGCTTAATGATGCTGATATATTCAAGAAAAATTCTTGGAGTCTACTATTAAAATACTCAGATGATAGTGTAAAACATTAATGTAAATAGTCCTTGTGTTTTTATATACTGAAGTGGTCGGTATCGTAAGAACCGAATATCTCCCTCTAGGCAAACCAAAAGCAGCTTATATTGTAACCCTGTTAGTTTGACAGCGAGAGCTTTAATTTAGCTTCAACATGTCTTACTGTTTTAACGGGTGTGGGGTGTGGGTGTGTGGGTGTGTGGGTGTGTGTTATGGGTGTGGGTGGGTGTGGGTGTGCGGGTGGGTGTGGATGTGTGGGTTGTGTGTGGCTGTGTGAGGGTGTGGGTGTGGGAGTGTGTGGGTGTGGATGAGTGAGTATGTGGGTGTGGGGGTGTGGGTGAGTGTGGGGTGTGGGTGTGGGTGTAGAGTGGGGTGGGTGGTGTGGTGTGGGTGTGGGTGTGGGTGTGGGTGTGGGTGTGGGTGTGGGTGTGGGTGTGAATGTAGGTGTGGGTGGGTGTGGATATGGATGTAGGTGCGAATGTGGGTATGGGTGAGTGCGGGTATGGGTGAGTGCGGGTATGGGTGAGTGCGGGTATGGGTGAGTGAGGGTATGGGTGAGTGAGGGTATGGGTGTGGGTTCAACTTTTCAACGAAGATCCACACCTACGCCCACTCACCCGCACCCATAGCCTTTTATATAAGCGAAAAAGTTAATACTTTTCGAAAGAGCCTTTTCCATAGAAAATATCATAAAAATGGATAGTATTTCAGGATTTCAACTATTAAAAGTCGATTTGTATGAAAACAAGCAGAAGATTCGGAATCAGAATAGGTCAATACGCATGAAACTCTACTTTCCATTGTAAAATTGTTCAATCAAAATTTTGATCTGTAACGGTACAGGTTAAAGTTTTAGGAATAGCTGGCTGAAAGAAATAATGGTAAAATTTCAATAGCAAAATTTCACAATGAGAAAACCAAATTTCGGGTGTATTTTCCCATGCTGATTCCGAATATCATGCTTGTTTTTCATACAAATCGTCTTTTGATAGTCCAAAATCCTGAAATGCTATCTATTTTTATGGTATTTTCTATGAAAAAGGCTCTTTCCTAAAGTATTAAGTTTGTTGATGATATAAAAAATGTCCAAGGTTTGCTTCAGTGATTTCATATCTTTGCACAACCCTCAATCAAAAAATAGGCAAATGAAGAAAAACTATGCGCGTAGTATAGGCACCACTTTCTTTATTAAGAATGAGTTCCAGGACAAGAAAAAACAAATGGATAACGTTTCGCAACATCATTCTAAAGATCAACTACATCAATGTATAATAACGTGTTCAAAAAATATTTAGGTACCATCCGAACTATATTAATTCTCTTCATCAACCATTCTCAATTACTTGGGCATAGTACATCTCGAGTACTTCCTATTCATCGTTTTTATCTTCGCTACAGAACAAATGAAAACGAAATTCCAAACTAATCCTCTAATGATTCTTTGATTCTCATGTATTCTTTCGTTTATCTATCAATTCGGGCATGTTAAAAGTTGAAGAAATGAAAAAATAAATTAATACAGATTGCCTATTTTCAATCAAAAAATTCTCGGAGTCGAAGTCAGAATTGGAGTTGTGAAGAAGAAATTTTTCGGAGCCGAAGTCGGGTTTCGGAATAAAAAGCTTTGACTTCGCTGATTTTTAGTGGGTGTGGGTGGGTGTGGGTGGGTGTGGCTGTTGATCTTCGGTTTCTTTACCCACACCCCACACTGACACCGTCAAAACAACATGTTTTTATTTGTGTTCTATTTTTAATAACTTTCTCTAAATTTAGCTTTTTTTTTCAGACTATTCTCTTTAGGAGTTTATAGAATGCTTTCTATTTGTAACTATAACTCAATATCGAAAAAAACATTTTTTATAGTATATTGCTTTGCCACTATTATTATTGTTTCATTCATAGTTCGCATGCTCATCGATATATCACCCATTTATATAATTCGTCTTATTCTAACTTCATCTATATTCAAGTTAGCAGAGCAAAAACTAATTGGTTTTCCAACAAATACCACTGCTACCGTTCATCTTAAGTCATTTAAAAGTTTTATTTGTGACGATACAAGTATTAATCGGTTTCCGATTTCATCGACAATACCATCAAATGATTCATTTGATACATATCGCAAAATTGCTTTAGAAAAATATTGCGATATAGTACTATTCCGCGACATAAATGGCTGAATCCGCAGACATACACTGAAGAGGATATTGCATTTGTTATTTTTACATCTTCTAATTTTTTTCATACACGAGCAACAGCAACACGTGATACATGGCTTTCACGTATAACAAATTATTATTTTCTTAGTGCAACCCCTTATCTCTATCTACCTGTCACTATTGTTCCTGGTGCTGGTGAAGATAAATTATCAAATATGAAAAAACTTTTTTATGTTCTTCAAATAATTTATCAACAACAAATGAATCTTTCTGTCGATCAGCGACAAAAATGGTTTTATATAGCTGGTTGTGATACATTTATTCTTCCTCATCATTTAATTAAACGTCTTGATGGTTTGGATTACAGAAAACCAACTCGTGTTGGTGGTCATTGGGGATGTTGTGAATGCCCGGGGCCAAAGGGAGCAACATTTAGAGCTGAGTTTCCATCAAGTGGTGCCGGATTCTTTTTTAGCATAAGATTACTTGAAATAATGCAACCACATCTAACAAATTATATTGAAAATGTTTGGCCGCGTACATCTGAATTATCGGATGTGGCACTTGCTTGTCTTGCTACTCAATTAGGTATTCAACTAACAAAAAGAGTTGGATTTTGGGCACATCCACCAGAATTTACATTAGCAGAAAATAAGCGTAGAAAATTTCATAAAGAGTCTGAACCAAATGATTTTCACTATATTCAACCTGATGAAATGTATGCACTTGATGAATTCTATGTTAATCAACAT